AACCATTCGATTATTGCACGATTTTTTCATCAGCATTGTTACCATATATTTGTGAACTTTTTCCCTTTCTGTGCATCCAGGCGAAGGCCAAGTCTCATAAGAAGGCTGAAGCTGAAGGGCATCATTAGAGACTTTTCCCCTTTTCTTTTTATTTTTTTTTTTTGGATGAAATAATTGTCGGAGGAAAATGAAGAGCTGATGAGCAGGATCATATGTTTCTATATTGTAAACTTCCAATCAATACACACATTGTTTTCAATCCGTGATTGTGTTTTGATTTGTTCAATACAGAAATGAATTTACTTACACATTAGAATGTGCATCACATGAAGCATTAGCTTGTTCGTATTATTCCCAAGAAATGTGTTACCACCTCAATTTGCTATTGTTGTAAGACTAATGTTAGGCAAATTTAGTCGGTCGGAATTTTTTTTATTTAATGATGTCAGATTTGAATAATAACTCATACAAAAATATGACATCCTATCGTATAAGTATGCATTTTTATTTAAATATATATATATATATATATATATATATATTATGCATTTTTATTCAATTTATGTTCACTTTTTAACATGAAATGCTTGAAAGTACAATGGAGCTCAAACCAACCACCAATTGTGACGAAATTATCATTTATATATAGGATGGCCTTCATAAACACTTTGGCAAAACAATCACATGAATGCAACATAAAATACTGTTGTGTATCCTCAGCATCATTTTAAGATACACTACATATATTAACAAACCAAAATCAATATCAATCGTGCCAAATGCTTTGGTACACTTGTGGCCAGAAACCAAGACCTATCCACATTTCAAACTCCTCTTGTGCTGTTGTCATCAGACAGCTAATCAACATAAATGATGCCCTCATCGTCCATGTCATCGTCTTTCCACTCTTCATCATCATCATCATCATCATCATCATAGCCTCCATCGGATTCATGATCTCCGACTTTTGTTGCTTCTCTCTCTCTCTCTTCCTTTAGTCTATCTAATATAGCAAGTACCTGAACCGATATAAAACATGTAATTGTTAATGTTGAGAAGGCAAATACTTCAAAGCTTAAATACAATTGCAGTTTTTACAGTTTAATTTCATATATGATGTTGCCCCGGGAAAGAATTCAGGAGCAACTCGGGAAATCTCTATCAAAAGAACATATCCTAAAAGAAACTTGACAACAAAATGCTCCAAAAAGTTTCGGTTATTATAAATTTGTTTGGCATTACACATTCTAGCCAACATTCTTCTTTGCTAAAGTTCAACTCATCTGAACAACGAAAAAAACAACCGAATGCATCAAAACTCTAATTAAAGGAATGGTATTGAAAGGATGCAACACCATTTGCACATAGAGCAAAATACAATTATGCAATAAATAAACATCGATTTTATTTGTATGGTATTTCCCCCTTTTCAACTGTAGGGATGGCTGGATCAAGCATTATATCTAAACACATAAGACACATGTTTTGCCAAAATTCATTATACGGCAAGAATTATAACCCAGCAGGATTAAGCAACCGACAAATTTCAAATTTGAATTAAAAGCTAAAGTAAATCTGACCCGGCTTCCTCGTTCAATAGACTCATCCTCTATGAAACGGACTTCGGGGGTGAGCCGCAACTTCATACGCTTTCCCAGCTGACTTCGTACATACTTTGCTTTTGATTTCAGCCCTGCTATAGCGACTTCTTTTCCTCTTTCATCTCCAAAAACAGATACATACACTTTGACAACCTACATTTAAAAGTAAATAAAATGCTTAAACATTTCAGATGATGATATAATAACAATTTAACAAACACCTGAATTTTTTTTTCTTATTTTCAGTCAGAATATCTGAATTTACAATCCAATCACCCATCAACTTGCACATAAATATCAGCATAGACCTCCTTAAGAGTCGAAACAGCAATTGAACCAAAAGCTTGAAACTACGAAAGGGACCAGAATAATATGCTTTAATGCGCATAGAAGAGATCTTATGAACCTCAAAAACAAATGGGGTCATCTAATTATCCTATGATTCAGCATATGTGCATTGTAAGAATCGACTAATACAGCAATTCAAACACGAGTGGTCTAATGACAAGCCGCGGTATTTCTACATATCGCGAGATAACCAACAAACATCATAGCTACTCATGGGTCATACCTCAAACAAATTAATCATAAAAATCGTAGATTAACCCAAAATTAATCATAAAAAATGGGACAACTACTCTCATTTTTATCTAAATTCGAAGAAGGAATTCATGGCATTAACAAGAGAGAAAACACAGGAATTCTTGGTGCATACACAAGCACAATCAGCAATAGAACAACTTCAAGATTTCAATACATTCCACTTCCACAGGTATCTATATATATATAATTACTAGCTAATAGCATTTAATAAAACTATTTAATTTTACCTATGTGGAAATTTAACCATTTTCCCTCCAAAAACCGTTACTTTTGATGAATTTAATCTTTCATTTAATTATTAATTAATCAACACTAATCACTTTAAAATTACAAAAATCATTTTAAACTTTTGATTACTGACAGTTGACCATAATAATGTGTTAACCGTATACTGTGATGAGATGTTATTATTGTGGTTACATTAAATTAATTTTTTTAAAATAAAAAACGTATTTGAAATTCCTAAATAAATAATAACTAATTCACAAAAAAAAAGATGTACCAAAATATACATTACATCCAATTAGATAAATGCAATTTTAAAAAAAAAATATTTCAACTCCTTTAATTGTAAATTTGGCCAGCAAAAAGGTGAAAGAGAAATAATTAATTATTATATGCATACAAATCACTCACAATACTTTATTTACATTTGTGCAGGTGCACAGGGTCGAATACTAGTACATAAGAACTCTTGAACGGAACATGGCATTAACAAGACAGAAAACACAGGAAGGCCTTGTGCATACACAAGCACAATCAGCAAAAGAACAACTACAAGATTTCAATGGAGGTACCCGATCAAGATTTCAATGGAGGTACCCGATATCTCTCATATCCAACGCACGCAGTACATCACTTGTACATTCCGCTTCCACAGTTATACATAACCTCGATAACAAACAAAAGAAACGAAAAAGCCATTCCTAATTAAAATAAAAGCAATCAGTCACCTGCAAATCAGCTGAAACCTCGACATCGGTAACCGTAGTGACCGACGACAGGTATCGGTCGGCGCCCAAGGCAGATTCCGGCAACACCGCGTGCTGCAAAACCTTATCCATGAGCAACATGTCGGAAATCTCCCTTCTTATCTGCCTGGACACCATTTGCACTCTCCTAGGGTTCGCCATGCATATAACACTTCTATTTGTGCCGTTTGGCCCATTTGTAATACCGCCGCCGAAAGTGGTGCTCGTAACCACCCGGTGCGGCTGCCGAAGGCAGAACCCGATGGAGGCGATGGAGCAAAACGGCCGCGCCGAATGTGCTGTAAACCATGATAAAGCTATCGTTGAACAGTGATTTAGTGTGTGAGGCATCGGATAAGATTATCGGTGGTATGAGAACAGGAGGGAACAAATATCTGGTCGCCGTTCGGAGGGTAGTTTGGGAATATAATTATGAGAAATGTGGATTGGGAAGCACACTTAACATTGGGCTTGTTTCGGCTTAAAGCCCAGTCCATAACTCCATTACTTCAGTCCAAATTTTTATTTATTTAAGTGTTACAGCCCAATAAGCTTTATGAATTCCATATTTGGGCCTACATTGTCTTTTGAAATTTATTGGTCCAAAAGTGCATACTATGTTAGGGTTGAGCATGATCTCATAGGAACATGAATATGAAAGAAAAGAATGAAGAGAACAATAGAGTAAAATTGTATCTTTCATAATATATTATTTTATATTGTAAATTAAATCTGATTGAAGTATATATGTTAAAGTAATGTTTACAAAATAATTATTTAAGACACTGAAAAAATTAAATAAACAATGAGTATTAGATGAAGCATTAATTTCGAACCAATTAAATAAAGGATTATAAAATATGTATAATTGTTTTATTTGTTAGCTAGAGAAATCCAATATATTTCTAGCCATCAATTTCAATTCAAACAGTCAAAAATTTTAACCTCTAATTCACATTCCACTCAACTATCACAATTAATGGCCATTATTTACAATTATATAAAGTGAGCACGAACAGATGGTGATAGGTGATATTGTAAATGATAATAATATTGCATTTACGCCCTTAGCCAGACAACGGGCCAATGAGTTATTATTTGAGTGCAATTACACACTGTTAATGTACCAATTAATTACCAAACATGCATGAACATGTTAGTATTAATTTAAGCTAAATAAGATTTGTAGAAAGCATTAAAAAGAGACATATAGTGACATTTGAATATCTATATTTATGTGGAAAATGCTACGGTCCCGTTACGGTACCATCCCATCAGGTGTTTTAACCGTTGGATCCACATGTAGTTAAATAAGATAGATGATCCAATAGTTAAAACACTCGACGAGATGGTACCGTAATGGCACCGTAACATTTCCCTATTTATGATATACTATTATATTCTGCAATGTTATGTTTGGTAAAACTATTTGATAAATTAGCTTCAGTGCC